TGTTCATCCAGGACCATCATTATCACTTCAATACGGGGTAGATTCGATAATGTTGATCCAGGACCATCATGGTCACTTCAATACGGGGTAGATTCGATAATGTTGATCCAGGACCATCATGATCACTTCAATACGGGGTAGATTCGATAATGTTGATCCAGGACCATCATGGTCACTTCAATACGGGGTAGATTCGATAATGTTGATCCAGGACCATCATGGTCACTTCAATACGGGGTAGATTCGATAATGTTGATCCAGGACTATCATGATCATTTCAATACGGGGTAGATTCGCTTATGTTGATCCAGGACCATTATGATCATTTCAATACGGGGTAGATTTGCTAATGTTGATCCAGGACCATCATGATCACTTCAATACGGGATAGATTCGCTAATGTTGATCCAGAATAATCATAGTCAGTTCAATACGGGGTAGATTCGATAATGTTCATCCAGGACCATCATAGTCAGTTCAATACGGGGTAGATTCGCTAATGCTGATCCTGGACCATCATGATCAGTTCAATATGGGGTAGATTCGATAATGTTGATCCAGGACCATCATGATCACTTCAATACGGGGTATATTTGATAATATTGATCCAGGACAATCATGATCATTTCAATACGGGGTAGATTCGTTAATGTTGATCCAGGACCATCATGATCATTTCAATACGGGGTAGATTCGCTAATGTTGATCCAGGACCATCATGATCATTTCAATACGGGGTAGATTCGCTAATGTTGATCCAGGACCATCATGATCACTTCAATACGGGGTAGATTCGCTAATGTTGATCCAGGACCATCATGATCACTTCAATACGGGGTAGATTCGCTAATGTTGATCCAGGACCATCATGATCAGTTTTATATGGGGTAGATTCGCTTATGTTGATCCAGGACCATCATGATCATTTCAATACGGGGTAGATTCGCTAATGTTGATCCTGGACCATCATGGTCACTTCAATGCGAGGTTGATTTACTAATGGTGATCCAGGACCATCATTGATTCAGAACCAATGAATTCACCAATCCCTTTGCATAGTTCATGTGGAGAGCTGATAGATGTTTTAAAATGTAATATTTCAACTTATCAGCTCTTTGTTATTGTTTCCTCTTTAAAGTTAGTATATGTGTTTGGTGATGCTGATGTGTGTTATTTTAAAATAACCAGAACAAAAACGTTATGTGAAAATGAATTAACTAAGTATCATTTTTGTGTGTATACATTTCAGAAATGTTCCATGATGGAGGAGTTTATCAAAAAGTCTGTGGAAAATGAAGAAAGGAGAAAAATAAGACATAAAAACATTAAACTCAAGGTGCATGTTCTTAAACCAGATGATCAAGAAGAGAACTTTATCACAGAAATAATTAACAAAGAGCACACAAAATCATTCAGGACCACAAATTGTTCCAGTTTAAAAGATAAAAGAAGAGGATATTTTATTTTTCATTGCAGAAGATCTGGAAATGTATATGAAAGAAGTCACAGAGCTGTCGGGTGTAAAGCATACATCTCTTTTAAAGTAAGAAATGATTGGAAAGGGCACAAAGTTGTTGTGCAGAGAATATTTGACCAGCACAATGGACATGATGTTTCTGTAGAAGATGGTCATTTTCAGCAGATTCACCCTCATCTGGTGGATGAGATCAAGAAGTGGATCACATTAGGCGTAAAACCAGATGTCATCCTCCTTCAAGCTCATGAGTGGTCAAAAGCTCATGGAGAAGTTAATTATCATTCCAGAGAATATTTTGTAACACCAGAAGACATACATAATATCCGTACCTGTATGCTTCGAGGGAAACATCTTGATAAAGATGATTATAAGAGTACAGAGAAACTATTAGCTGGTCCTTTAAAAGATAATGTTGTATTTTATCAGCCACTGGGTAAGGATCAGGACCTTATAATCGTTCTCCAAACGGAGTGCATGAGAAAAGACTTACAGGACCATGGGAGTAACATTGTGTTTTTTGATGCCCGCATTGTGTGAATCAATATTCCTTTCCACTTTTTACATTGCTTGTGAGAGATGACCATGGTCATGGAGTTCCTGTTGCATACATAATAACAAGCAGTGAGACACAAGAAACCCTTAAGCTTGCACTTCGGAGGCTAAGACCTTTGTTCCCTAAGCCACCAAGGTAATTTATTAAGGAATTGATCTGTTGGGGGGTCCACTGCTGGTTGAATAAGTTAACCTACTTTTCTTTTTCTTTAAAGGTGCTTCATGGTTGACAAAGACATGAGTGAAATAAATGCTTTGAATGACGTCTTCCCTGAGTCGGATGTTCTTCTTTGCTGGTACCATGTACTCCAAGTAAGAAGTTTTTTCCCTCTTAAATTTATTTATTCATAATTTTAATGATACTTGCATAAGCCATTACATATGTCCTGGTTCACAGGCCATTGTTCGGTGGTTGATGAAGTCAGATTCCAGTGTTAGTGGGCCACAGCGTTCAAGTATCCGGAAAGAAATTATTGATTACTTCAAAAAAATGAAAGCTTGTCCTATGGTATTTGAATTTTAAATTTGAATGGTTGTATTATGCAGTTATAATATGTACATAATGTATACCATGACAACCCATTTTTAAAGGGTTGTCATTTTTTCACCCAAATTGTTTTTTTTTGTCATCATGTACTTACCCTCATGTTGTTCCAAACCTGTTTGAGTTTCTTTCTTCTGTTGAACACAAAAAAAGATATCTTGAAGAATGTTGGTAATTAAACAATTGATGGACCCTATTGACTTCCATAGTAGAAAAAAAGAAAATGCCAAAGTCAATGGGTGCCGTCAACTGTCTGGTTACCAACATTCTTCAAAATATTTTATTTTGTGTTCAACAGAAGAAAGAAACTCATACAGGTTTGGAACAACATGAGGGTGAGTAAATGATGTCATTCATTTTTCGGTGAATTATCCCTTTAAGTCAGAAATGTTTGAATTGTATTACCATTTGCACCTTAACATTTTTGACCATGAGGCTTTTTTCATTATATATTGTGTACTTTTCCATTCACTTTCCAAATTACAAAATACTATAGATATTATACAATATTTAATCATGGATATTACTAAGCTTTTATGTTGTTACCTTTTTTTGCTTGCAGACTCACAATACCTATTTTTGTTAATTGCAGAAGGCTGACTTTGACAGAGTGTCTAAAAAATTCCTAAAGGAATTTTCTCACTACGAAGAGCTTTGCAATTACTTCCAGAGGTACTGGGAACCAATAAGTCATAGATGGGCGGATTATGGACGTTGCTATAACCATGGGAATTCAGAGACCAACAATTTGATAGAAAGGTAAAATAAGACCCTAGTGAATTTAAATTGGTATTAAAGGCTGTAAAGCAGAAATAATTGACTGTCGTTGCAACTTTTCCACATATAATGAACTTGTTTTGGCACTATAAATTGTTTTTTCTTTATTCAGGTTCTTCCATCGACTGAAATACCAATTCTTATCTGGGATAAGAAATCGGCGTTTGGATGACTTGCTTGATGTCCTTCTTTGCAAGACAGAGACTTACTTTCAGGTGATAAAACACTTGCAATCAGCAGGAAGAATGGCAAACTGTGTTGCCATGAAGTTGGAGGAAACATTTAACAAAGCAACTAGAATGATGGAAAAAGGCTGGATTGACCACATTACAAGAGAATCATCAGAAATATATGTGTATAATGTGCCATCCGAACAAGACTCCTCACTTTCCTATAGAACCTGCCCAGCAGAGTGTTTCTGCATTTGCCCTGTGGGTTTGAAAGGTGAAGTATGCAAACATTTGGTGTTGCTAGATATACTCAAAAATAAGGATGATGCATTCACTGAACTTACTCTTCAGCTGGAAGCTCATGCAAGAGCTGTACAAGACAAAGGTCACTTCAGTATCTGTTCTGAGGTGAAGATGGAAATCGACGTGGAAAGCCTTTGTGGGAGAGGAACATATCATACAGATTTGGAAACATATTCTTGTACCTGTTGCACATTCTCATATCATGGCATATGTCCCTGCCTTATTTTAGCACAACAGTTGTTTGGCATGACCATTAATGAACAAAAGTGCTGTTCTGTGAATCAATCAGACAATGCTGATGTTTATTTTGAGAAACAAGACACAAGTTCAGACTTCCGGAGACTAGAAGATGTTCTTGAAATTGTCAAAAGATGCCCCCCCCCCCCCCAAAAAGTAAGAAAATTAAAGAAAACGTGAATACAGAATTGGGTTCAGAATGCCTTGTATGAAATTTGGGTATCAAATGAAGAGCTGACTTTAGTGTGGCCAATTTTTTGTGTCAATGTTAATTTCTAAACAATACTGTTTTCGGAAGAATTTGCAAAGCTGTTTTCAATGTAATGTATTTTGTGTGCTAAAAAAGTAATTCTGTCAATGTAAATTTGATATTTTAGATCTATTATTAATTACAGTTACAGTACCATTACAATGTGGCTAGATGACATGTGGTATGTTTCTGTTTCTGTTCATAAGGAATTAAACGTCATTCATCCAATACAATTTTTTTTAATATCCACATATTAAAGATGTAAGAAACTTTACACTGAGCATATTGATATAACAAAATTATTAATATAACACAAATATAAGGGTATTTTACAGAATTAAAAGACCCCTACTGATTCAATTAGTTCTCAGTTATAAACAAAACGTCAAACATAAAAGGTTATTGTCAGATTTAACAACCTTAGTGCTGCATTTGAAATGTATTTGTTCTGCTTTCATTTTAGACTCTCTGAGATGAAGCCTAACACTCCATCCACTGCTTGTGGACCAAATGTGTGGGTTAATAAACTAAAAGCTGATCTAGAATCCAGGCTTGATTGCAAGTTGGCACGTACACTAGCCAGAGTTGTCCTTTAATGAAAAGAAAAAGGTGAAACAGTTAATAAAATTACATCAAATATCATAAACGTACATACAGTAGCTGTGCATTAAGAAAATATACTGTACCTGGTCACTTCTGCATGTCACTTATGTCTTTACGTACCAACTTTGGACTGACATTTTGACACAGGCTTTTAGTTAAACCAGTGGCAAGGTCTGAAGCCTCGCCCTCTGTTAGTGCACTAAAAATGCTTGTCTTAGTCTTCATTTTCTTGGGAAGATTGAGGACTAATTCAGGGAGATTTTTTTTGCGCCCCTTAAGAAAAATGAACAGTAGTGCTTTAGAACTCAAATAAAATTAATAGAGAGATGAAAACAAATATAAAACATAACTGATAACTTAATATATCGACCTTATCAATTTAAAAATCAACTTACTCCTAGCAGATCTCTGAAAACATTAGAGGACATATTCTCCCCTTCTATTCTGCGCTGAATTTCTTCTTTTGTGACAACATACGGGGACTTTCTCTGACCAGTGAGGACTAAGCGTCCAAAAACTTTGATGTCTTCAATGTCGTCTGTGGGGTTATTCAAAGGACAATCTCCGCTGTCTCTTGCCTCTATTTCCTCATTTTCAAAACCTGCATCCTTGCCAGTGTCAAAGGTTTGTGGCTGTCTTTCTTCCTCGCTGTCTTGCTTTTCCCCCCTATCTGGTGCATCACTTGCCTTTCTTTTTTTACACTTTGATTTTTTTTTTTTTACTTCCACTTTTTCTGTTTTGTGAGTTTCCCTTTTCTCTTCTTCCTCTTGTTTCCTCTCATCATCTGGAGGTCTTCTTGTGCTTTCCTCTGTCTGCTTACTTTCTCCTTTTTGTAGATGTTTAAACATAGTGTTTCCTTCACCTGCTATTTGAAGCATCAGCATAAACAGCAATGCCATTTTAATCTCAGGAGGAATAATTATTACATCTATAGAAAACATTAAAATGGGTGTACAACTAAACTTGTACTGGGATACATCATCCTCTATACATCTACAATTTGTGGACTCTACTAACAGTTCTGAAGTCATACATTATAAGGAACAGACCAAAACAAAACTGATTATTAACTAATAACATTACCCTCTTACTTCAGCAAAACATACACTTGTAACTTTCTGAGATTTGTCTAAATGCATAATTGTATTTTTTTTTTGTTGCTAAGACAAGAGCTGATGTAAAAAGATAGCATGCACACAAAATTGGTAATGAAAAAAGTGCGTCACCAGAGGTCAAATACCTTCAGTAGTCAAAGCACTATTAGACTATTGAAAAGACTGTTCCAGAAACAAACTGTACAGCACTGCATAACATGCATATAAACATACCCTTATTCAAACTGCCCATTCAATTTAAAAAATATCCTTAAATTTGCTTTGAAGTATAGTATGTAACATTAGATACTTGTTTTGATTTTTGTGGGAGTTTCACCGCAGTTTCCACAACTTGCTCTTTTAGCCTGCACATTTTATACAGTGTGTTGAATAGCTGTTTGTTCTTGGAATTGAAATTACTTACAAATTACACAGATGCCACATGGTTTTCGCTGACATCTCAAATGGCTGTGTGCACCGCATTCCTGACAGCACACCTAAAAGTGAAACAATGCTTGGTTGCTTGCAATTATTTACAGTATCAAACAGATTCTTCTATTTACCTTCTCTTTTATCAGGACACTCCAGCACACTGTGCACTTTACTCCTCTATCTGCAGAAAAAAAAAAAATCATATATTAATAATCAAATGAGTAGTTTTGCCTTGGCTATGAGATATAAATTTGTCCATGAGATAATTTTGTTGTGGTAGTGACATTCTTATTATCACGAGGTGGCAAGGAAGAGGAGAAGCAATGATCCAAAACCGATCGGTCTGTGCAGCGCTGCTTCACGTTGAACATATACAAATATGTCTTTCTCTCAACTTAGGATCTTGAGGCCACAATTTCACATTACATGGCCAGAACATAGGAATAAGGATGTTGTTACTTCAACAAAAATATCTTGTGGTCATGACAGATCACATTCTCACTCATTATTATTAATTAATTAGCCATTGCCGCTGTCGCTTCTCACCTCTGGCTTGCTTAGTTGGAGACATTTAATATTCAATAATATTATTGATCTGCCTTCTTTGACACCATTGATTAAGAACTGAACTGAGCTGGACGATGACGTCACCGTTTCTCCAGAGCTGATAGATAAATTAACTGAATTAAGAACTATTTTCTTCTAGAGCTACAAAAAAATTACAGCCAAAATTATGTTCCCTCTATCAATGTAAAGCTGCTTTGACAGCTTTACATGGTCACGACCAAACTAAGTGAAGGGGGTGGTGATGGCGCAGTGGATAAGACACATGCCTTTGGTGTGAGAGACCCGGGTTCGAATCTACTGTGAGACACCAGTGTGTCCCTGAGCAAGACACTTAACCCCTAGTTGCTCCAGAGGCGTGCGACCTCTGACATATAGCCATTGATAGTCGCTTTGGATAAAAGCATCATCTAAATTAATAAATGTAAATGTAATGTAATGAACCGAATGTCCCCCCAAATTTATAATATGTATGTTTTGCTTTAGTTTTTATGAAAGTGAGCACCTAAAGAGGAAAACAGAATGTTGCAGAACTGTGCCCTCAGCTGGGGTATATCCACGGAGGCATATCCATCCACGAAACCTTTTCCCTCAAGCAGGGCCTGAGCAAACTAAAATATAAATTAAGTTAAGTGGGCATTTTAAATACTTTATCAGAATGTATAAAAATAAAAGTACATCGACCGATTTTAGAAAATTAGAAAAAAATACCATTAGCACATGGACCCCACAAGAATGTCCATCCTCTTGTCGTGGGTGGGGCACATCATTCCATGTCCATTTCAGGGCACATCCTTTAGCTTTGGCAAAATAACTGAGAAAAAAAAAGCTTCAAATTAGGTCTTTGTTCTGAATGTAGTGTTGATACAGTATGTTGTTGTTTTTTCATATGCTTGGTCATTTAAGGTAATGTTTCACTATTATACTAAAATCCATTAATAATTTTGTTGTGTAGCAGGACTTTAAAAACAACACACTTTGGCAAGTATCAAGTACTAACTAAATGAAAGTAGACCTCCCTAAAAGTTTAACCCCTTAACTGTCACCTTCCCGGTACCGGGACGCCTACGTTTACTTCACTAAAATAGATTTTTTAGCACTGTTTTTTGTTACAAATTATGTAGGAACTTATGAATTTATGACAAGAGTGCACCTCAAAAAAATCTACATCATAACAGGAGTTCTGACCCTTGTCAGAACTCGATGCACACATTTTTAATAGTTGAAACTTTGGTTTTCATGCTAAAAGTTCATAATAAAACATAACCTAGTATTTGCCAATGAAAAATTATAAAATAATATTATCCTCTAAAAAGTATAATATATATATATATTATCCTCTAAAACATAATATTATAATAAAATATCACCTTTTTATTACATCTCATATTTTAGTAGTTATCATAAATTAGGTATCATTTGAAAGCTTACAAACTCAGAATTCATCCTGTGAAAACCGTTTTCAAATTGGACATTGCGTTACCATAGTTTATCGGGCTGCTCCCCTTTTGGGCGTCATCATGTTTCATAATTTATGATCAAAAACTTTTCTAATCTTGACAAAACACATATTGTCAGAAAGGTCTGAGTCTCAATGTTTCCATATTTTGTGAAAGAAGTGATATTTGGACAGACATGTATTAATTTGTTAAGGCAGAATGCATACAATTCGATTGGAATGTATGTCACCAGGTGGCTTTTTTTTTATATTACGCCTAAACAAAATCTCATGGGAACTTCAATTTTTGTGTTATCTACTTCAAATTTGGAACACAACTTGGTAAGATATATGGCTTTGATTTTATAGTAAAAAATAAAATAAAGGGGGGTGAGAGACATTGAGCTTCCCAGGCACTATACCCATCTCTATAACTCAAGACGATATAGACCTTAGTCAGGGTAGTGACATTTAGCATTTTGTGTATGAATGTGTGTATGTGTGCCTGTCAAAAGATCGGAAACATTATAACATTTTATTTTTTAAGTTTCTTCTGCTCATCAAGGCTGCATTTATGTAAGAACGGTAATGTTGTGAAATAGTATAACAATTTAAAATAATTGTTTTCTATAGTAATACAATTAAAAAGGTAATTAATTCCTGTGATGCAAAGCTGAATTTTAAGCATCATTAAATATTGTTATGAGACCGTAAAGGCATCATTTTCAAAAGCTTGTGTTTTCAGGCTCCCAAAACGCTGTTGTCATGTAAATAAACGGCCAAACAGACCAAATGATTACAGCCTTGAAATAAAGAGATACTGTCAAAATCTAAAGGTTATTATTTGTTAATCTTATCTACTACCTCCAATTCTTCAGAATCTCGTTTTTCTTTCCATTGGCTTCACCAAATGGATCCATGTATGTGACTTCTTGTTTTGTGAGGTCACAGAACTACAAAATAAGATCAGAAAATTAGTAGATTCAAAGAATCAATCATCAAATACCAATCCTAATGTGTAATTTTATTTAATTTATTTTTAAAGTTTGCGCAAGGTAACAGTCAATTGTAAGAAATAATAGTTCCCTTTCAGTCGAGAACGTCAGACGTAGTCGACATCGACTGAATGGGGATCATGCTAGGGAGCCTATCGTCTTCGAGTATCTTTAGAACGAGCCAATGCACATTGGCGTGCGAGATCTGCATCTCACACTCCGCCCCGCAGTGCGGGTATAAATACGGAAGTAGATGCACGCACCATTTGCCTTTCTCTTCGGAGCCGAGCTTCATGTTCAGGTCTAGTGTTGTTATACAACGAGCGAGTGTGTCGTAGCTTCTTCTGGAAGTCTCTTCTGGAAGTGTTGGTGTTTACAGCGCAAGTGCAGCTGTGATCGCAAGCTTTCGAGGTCTCAACTGCTGTTCTCATAACACCCAAATTTCTGTTTGTGTTGGATGATTGGTATCTCGAGATGGGCCGTGCTGGTTCTCAGCCCGCCGCCCCAGTACCCTTCTTTCCCGAAGTGCATGGAGAGCTTAACAGATCGTGGATGGCACCTTTTACTGCCGAAAACTGCCTGAGTGGTTCTTCCCCCCTCACTACTTTTAAGGGAGGAGCGGTTATGAGGCTATCCCTCCAGTGGAGCGGTCTATTGCGACACACCTGTGTCCAACAGCTGCTGCATCTGGGGGATCCTTGTCTCCCCTCGCAGGCCTGTGAGCTCGCGTCAGGTTTGACCGTCAGAGCTTACAAAGCTTGCGGGCAAGCCGCCGCCTCATTGCATGCCATGGCGTTGTTGCTGGTCTATCAGGCCAAGACACTCATGGACATGCACAAGGGTAGTCTAGTGCATGCGCTCATGAGTGAGCACTCAGGGGCACGAGTGTCACAGCGTGCGTGGTCAGTCTAGTGATGTCCACCCTAGTGGTCCAGGAGCGCCATCGTTGTCTCAGCCTGATTGAGATGGCGGATGCGGACAAGGTTTGGTTCCTGGACTCCCCAATTTCCCAGGTTGGGTTGTTCGGCGACGCAGTGGAGAGCTGCACCCAACAGCTCTCCGCCGCTCAACCGCAGATGGAGGCCTTCCAACACACCATGCCCCGGCGGCCCGCTGTTGCTTCCACCCCGCCGCCAGTGGCAGTTCATCTGCATTCGCCTTCTTATGCAACCCTTATTGCGCCATGGAGACAGGTAAGTGTTGTGACGTACACTCAGATCCTGCTTCGGGTCACCCCTGGGCCTTCCGAGCCGGGTCCCTGTCCCCCACCTCGCTGCCCCACCTCGGTTACATCTGTGGTCTTCTGGGCCTGGTTCGTAGAAGCGGAAAAGGTTTCCGAACCGATCCGGACCAGACCGTGACCATCAGACTCGGCTATGCGATTCATTATCACTCTGCCCCTGCTCAAAGTTCAGTGATAGTCATCACATTTAGGTGTTGACCAGATATGCTCCTGAAGCTCAGTGATATTCATCACACCTAGTGTTGAGCAGTGCTCCTGTCTTGTCCGCGCATGTCGCTGTCCTACTGGCGAAGGATGCGATATAGCCGTTCCCTCCAGCCGATATGAAGGCCAGTTTTTGTAAACTCGTTCTTCATGGTACCTAGTATGTGGTGGGTCGTGACCATCTTGGACCCGGGCATTGGCTCGTTCTAAAGATACTCGAAGACGATTGGCTCCCTAGCATGATCCCCATTCAGTCGACGTCGCGCGAACAAGAACGTTCTATTGCATTTAGTCTGGTATGGTTTCCTACTGAACCAAGCCTGGCGTATTCAGAACGTTATGATTTGGCCTACTTACAAAAAGGGTCCAGTGATTTTCATTTTCCAGGAGGGCACCAATAACTTTAGTGTAGGTTTTAAATAGGTCTTTCTGGAAAGATATAATTATTAATTGAATCAAAAGAAGTTTTATGTGGAACATCATGTGTTCTTCTTTTAAAGGGGCTCTAGGAAAATTTAAAAAAACTCTTGTTATTAGCGACACCTGTGGCCATGAAGTGAACTCCAGCCAGCAACTTATTGCTTGTGCTTGCGGTCGTGCTCGCAATCCATAGTATTCGAGCAAGACTTGGCCAAAACAGTAACCGAAATCATGTCGACAGATGACGTTCATTAAAATTACACTGTTAAGATAGGTTCCTTTGGATTTTTCCGGCAAAACCGCCCTGAGTCGTTAAAATCAGAATAGAGACTTTCATAGACAACCTATGAAGTTGGGAAATGTCTCTTTTTTTAAAGTTTCACTACAGTGCCTCAGTTCACAATAAAAATAAAATAAACAAAATGATTTATACTTGAAAATTCGTACGTATAGCCCCTTTAAAATAATATAAGGCTGAAGGTTGTAACTTTTTCAAAGTTAGAACATTCTCCTTTTGCAGCCAAAAATGCAGTGACAATTTAGTATGCAAACCATTTGTATGATGATTCTGATGCAAACAATTACATAATCCTAATTATAAAATAGTAATATTCAAAAATAAATGGAAAATGGTCAAAGACAAAATACTTTTGCCCGTAATGTTTAATTTCGATAATGTTTCCATATTTCTATTTTGCACTCCACATCAGGGTGAACCTTGCTAAATTCAGACTGTATGTCATGTACATTCACAGTGCGTCAGTACTAGGTAAGCACTGTATCTGCAGTGCACAGCATAAATTAGTAAATCTGAACAAATACAAAAGATGTAGCTTTTGCTGGCTCTGAAACACTCGCTTTGTATTTCTCCCACTGTTTGTCAAGCAAAAATCACTCATCACTAAATGAAAGCTTAAAATTAAGGCCTGATTATTTCAGGGTCCCTGTCACCAGTCCATTATTTTATTTATTTCTGTTCATTTTGCTATATTTTCACAGTGTCCACTTTTGTGCTAAAAAAAAAAGTCTCCTGACAGTTCTCTCCCAAGTGGTACCATTGTTGTCAGAATTACTGTAAGTCTGAGAATGATTCAGTGGGCTATATAACACTTTTAATTGTCAAGAAATTACTTCTCTTTAAATGTTTTGGTTCAACATACTTACCCGTTGATCAAAAATTGCCTTTAATTGACACCAGAATTTTTTATTTATTTTTTAGGAGTAACTTTCAGGAGGGTGTACTTATTTTTGCAACACAACATTTTATCACTTATAAGATAAGAAAATCTTATTTTCCTGAACAGTTGTGTCATGCTTCTTTGGTAATTGATCAAGAAGACTTCCTGGGACATTATATCTCCAAAGAACCCTAACATGTCTTCCAAGTAAAGAGTAATTGCGGAATTTGTTAAGTTTTAGATACTTATTTATGCTATGCACAAGCCCTGGAAGATTCCACCTTGGCTTAATTTTTTTTTTTAAACTATCAGTTGCTATTCCATGCTAGAATAACATTAGAATCTGCAGCTTTAATATTTAGATGGGCAAAAGTCTTTGATTGCATTTTTTATTTTAGATCATATATTCTTGGGTATGTAAATATTATTTACTGCACCTTGCAAAAGTAGTGGCTTTTAACCCTCTGCGATCCAGACAGAATCTTAGTCATGGATTGTGTACAAATATTGTACACATCCTTGAATTTCTTAGGGGGAAAAGGAAAAGCAGATAAATAAATACATATATACATACATACATACATACATACAGACATACATTATATATTTCATACCTTGCAGGTGATACTCATGAGAGCATCCATTACCTATTGATAATAACTGTAGTTAGAACCTGAAAAAATCATCAAATTCTAAAATACACCTGCAATTAATAAATAAACTAATAGCTCACCACATCTGGTATGTAGCCTGGCTCATACAGTGCTTTTAAATGGGCAGCTGAAAGGCTATTTGGCCCAACACAGCCCACTAAGGACTCCCAAGGTTGATCTGTATAAAGGGTATGTATATAAAAGTCACCTGCACAATTTTAAAAGGGTAAGTATGTATATGTGATACAGAATGTGCACCCTTACCAGTCATGATGAATCATACGTTAAAAGCTGGAAAACAAGAATGTCACAGTCCATTAGGAAGTTTTTCTGTTAACAATTTAAAGGGGCTATAAGAATTTTCACATATTTATCACTTTTTTATTGCCAATGTTTATTATGAAGCTTTAAAAACGAGACCTTCCCTGACTTCCTAGGTTGTCTGTGTAAGCCTGTAGACTGATTTTTATGATTTTTTCCCCTTTTTTGAAGGGAAAATCCAAAATGAACTATCATAACAATCATAATTTTATTGACGATCATCTGTCAACACCAATGTCGGTAAATTATATAGAAACACGGGTTAAGCTAATTAATTATATAAATGAAGGCAAAAAGTATCCTAAAAAAATTACAAGACACTGTAAAAAGTGACTTCAGTGCAGGGTGCAGCATAACTAAGTTATTTATCCTTGAACTAAGTATTAAGATTTACAGTTACAATTACAGTAGCGCTTCCTACAATGCAAAAAATTAGATTTAGATTTAATCCATCACTGTAATAAATAATAAAACGCAAAGATTTCAATTAACTTATGATTTGACTAACTACAGTAGAAATGGCATGTTGGAGAATTTGCTTACCATGCTAATTTATGGAAATCATGAATGGTCCTGGATCAACATTAGTGAATCTACCCCATATTGAACTGACCTTGATGGTCCTGGATCACCATTAGCGAATCTACCCCATATTGAACTGACTATGATGGTCCTGGATCAACATTAGCAAATCTACCTCGTATTGAACTGACTATGATGGTCCTGGATCAACATTAGCGAATCTACCCCGTATTGAACTGACTATGATGGTCCTGGATCAACATTAGCGAATCTACCCCATATTGAACTGACTATGATGGTCCTGGATCAACATTAGCAAATCTACCTCGTATTGAACTGACTATGATGGTCCTGGATCAACATTAGCGAATCTACCCCGTATTGAACTGATCATGATGGTCCTGGATCAACATTAGCGAATCTACCTCGTATTGAACTGACCATGATGGTCCTGGATCAACATTAGCGAAACTACCCCATATTGAAGTGACCATGATGGTCCTGGATCAACATAAGCGAATCTACCCCGTATTGAAGTGATCATAATGGTCCTGGATCGACATAATTGAATCTACCCCGTATTGAACTAACTATGATGGTCCTGGATCACCATTAGCGAATCTACCTCATATTGAAGTGATCATGATGGTCCTGGATCAACATTAGCGAATCTACCCCGTATTGAAATGATCATGATGTCCTGGATCAACATTAGCGAATCTACCTCGTATTGAACTGATCATGATGGTCCTGGATCAACATTAGCGAATCTACCTCGTATTGAACTGACCATGATGGTCCTGGATCAACATTAGCGAATCTACCCCATATTGAAGTGACCATGATGGTCCTGGATCAACATAAGCGAATCTACCCCGTATTGAAGTGATCATAATGGTCCTGGATCGACATAATTGAATCTACCCCATATTGAACTAACTATGATGGTCCGGGATCACCATTAGCGAATCTACCCCATATTGAACTGACTATGATGGTCCTGGATCATCATTAGCGAATCTACCCCGTATTGAAATAATCATGATGGTCCTGGATCAACATAAGCAAATCTACCCCATATTGAACTGACTATGATGGTCCTGGATCACCATTAGCGAATCTACCTCATATTGAAGTGATCATGATGGACCTGGATCAACATTAGCGAATCTACCTCGTATTGAACTGACCATGATGGTCCTGGATCAACATTAGCGAATCTACCCCGTATTGAAATGATCATGATGGACCTGGATCAACATTAGCGAATCTATCCCGGATTGAAGTGATCATGATGGTCCTGGATCAACATTAGCGAATCTACCCCGTATTGAAATGATCATGATGGTCCTGGATCAACATTATCGAATCTACCCCGTATTGAACTGATTATGATGGTCCTCGATCAACATTAGCGAATCTACCCCACATTGAAATGATCATGATGGTCCTGGATCAACATTAGCGAATCTGTCCCGTATTGAACTGATTATGATGGTCCTGGATCAACATTAGCGAATCTACCCCATATTGAACTGACTATGATGGTCCTGGATCAACATTAGCGAATCTACCCCGTATTGAAGTGACCATGATGGTCCGGGATCAACAATATCAAATCTACCCCGTATTGAAGTGATCATGATGGTCCTGGATCAACATTAGCGAATCTACCCCGTATTAAAATGATCATGATGGTCCTGGATCAACATTAGCGAATCTACCCCGTATTGAAGTGATCATGATGGTCCTGGATCAACATTAGCGAATCTACCCCGTATTGAAGTGATCATGATGGTCATTGATCAACATTAGCGAATCTACCCCGTATTGAAATGATCATGATGGTCCTGGATCAACATTAGCGAATCTACCCCGTATTGAAATGACCATGATGGTCCTGGATCAACATAAGCGAATCTACCCCGTACTGAAATGACAATGATGGTCCTGTACTGAAATGAATCTACCCCGCGAATCTACCCTGTACTGAAATGACAATGATGGTCTCTCAGTAGCTACCAAAGCTGCCATAGACCGCCCAATTGCTCTGGCGGTCTCCTTAGTAGCCCTGAGAGAAAGATCGGTAGCCCGACGAAGTTCTCGAATATCGTCATGACTGACTCCCTCACTATTATCCAGATCCCCCAGCAGGTCAGCTTGATAAGCCTGAAGCACTGCCATAGTATGCAGACATGCTCCAGCTTGACCTGCTGCCGTATAAGCTTTGCCCACTAACACCGAAGTGGCTTTGAGCGGTCTAGTGGGCAAAGCCGAGGCTTTCAGAGACGATGCGGGACCAGGGGAAAGATAGCTGGCTAAATTCTGTTCCGCCTGGGGCATCGCCTCATAACCATACTCTTTCAGCCCTCTAATTCTCGAATAAATATTAACTTGAGGGCTGAAAAGTCGTGATGAATATGGTTTATTCCATGATTTAGAAATCTCATTGTGAAGATCAGGAAAGAATGGAAGCCCTCGTGGTGGAGATGAAGCAGTAGAAGATAAAAAGCGCTCATCTAATTTACTTTTAGGACGAGCGCCCCTATTATCAGATGGCCATTCAATCTTTAATTTTTCTACAGCCCGCGACATAACATCCACCAGCTCATCATATGCTGGGGAAATAAATTGTGAATCTCTTTCCCCCATGTGTGTGCTTTCACTCTCCAAACTCATAGCATCGACCTCCTCGGAGGAAGAGCAATGAAGTAATGGAGGGCTCTCTCCCCGGGCGGAAGAAACCGCAGAGCGTGCTTCCGACACCGGGGGGGGAGCGCTGGATCTTTCGGGTAAGGAAGGAGAAAGAGCCCTCGGACCCGTCTCCAACCCCTCCGAAAGATCCTTTTGCGATCCCCAGGAATGCATTCTCCGCGCTGCCTCGGCAGACGCGGGTCCTGATCCCTGCGGATCGCGAGCCTGCCCACTCTCTTTATCAAAGAGTGACAGGCGAGAGCGGAGCATGCGAAGCGGTAGCATTTCACAATGCTGGCACTCAGCCCCCTCGAAGGCTGAGACCGCATGCTCCACTCCCAAACAAATGACAAAAAGCTCGTGTGTGTCCCCACCCGTTAAATAACGCGGGCAGGGAGAAGCACACTGTTTGTACACTTGTTTCGTTTCCATCCTTTTCCACAACAGACAACAGTAAATAGACAGAGACAAAATGACACAGATCGCTTGCTGAGACACAGAAGCTAATGCCGCGTTTCACCGGATGTGCTCTTATGCCTTCCTGGTCATGACGTCACCCGCCCGTGACGCTCATTCTTTCCATTGGACTAGTTGATATTGATGCTCAGACGCATTCACGCCGTTCCCAAAGCGTCGATGACGCATCGCGAGTTCCCTCGAAAGGGAACCTCTTTTCTCGAGAATACTGAAGCCAAAAATTATCCTTATAATTTGTATTAATTTAAAACACACTTGCTGCAGCTAGCAGACCTAGGCGAGGCAGCTCGCGCGCCTATTGGATGCTATGCGGCAACTGCTGCAACCTATCGAGGCACTGCTCGTGACGTAAGCACCAATGAGTGGGCGTGTGGGCGAATGGGCGTGGCTTATGCCTATATAAGCCAGAGCTCGATAAGATGCTCCTTGGTTTTCATCGACTGAAGCGAAACCAGATGGTAGCACAAGCACGGCAGGGTTACGCAACACTCATTCCCTCTTCTAGAGAGAACCGAGGTTACGTTAGTAACCGTGACGTTCTCTTACGAGAGTACTCTCGTGTTGCGTAAGCTAGCTTACGCTACGGGAATCCAATTTAAAACGCAGTGCGTGCTAAATCTACCACAACACGGACCCAAGGGCGAGCGCCCTGAGTTCATATGATATGGGGATATAAAAAGCCGACATTGGGAATGGGCTTAATAAGAATGATATAACGTAAACGTGGTTACCTTAAATGCATAGAGGGTGCTTAACACGGTATAACAGTCAGGGGAGGCAATAGCCTGCCTGAACTGAAAACTTTGCAGTCTGCGGAACCGAGTCCGGCAGAACTGAGCGGATAAACTAAACTGACAACAGTCTAGCTTGGAGCACGGGAACTTCCAGGTTATAGAACCCTATAAATGTAGACAGAGAGGCCCAGCCTGCCGCCATATAGATATCGTGAAGGGAAATCCCACTGGACCAGGCCCACGAAGAGGCATGCCTCTAGTGGAATGAGCTCTGACGCCCAGAGGGCAACGAAGGCTCTTAGATGTATAAGCCAGTGAGATAGCGTCCACCATCCACCTGGAAAGGCTATTTTTCGAGGCAGCTAGACCTTTAGATCGGCCACCAAACGAAACAAATAGCTGTCCTGACCGTCTGAAAGCAGCCGAACGTTCCACGTAAATTCTAAGGGCCCTAACAAGGCAAAGGAGATTCACGTCAGACTCGCTGTCAGATCCGAAGAGAGAATGTCAGATTGAAGAGGCGGTGGTACCAGTACCAGTCGGTTGCCTTCC